ATCCGTGATCCGATCCGTGATCCGATCCGTGATCCGATCCGTGATCTGATCCGTGATCCGATCCGTGATCGGGTCCGTGAATCCGGTCCGTGATCCGGTCCGTGATCCGATCCGTGATCCGGTCCGATCCTGGTTTTGTCGACGCAAACTGGAGTTTAAACCACCGCAAACAACATAATCTCAAAGACGTAATTGATCCCGGAAAATAATCTGGTTCAATCCGCCGTACAACAAAAATGTCAAGAGCAACATAGGAAGAGAGTTTCTACGCTTAATAGATAAATGATAGCGCTTCCCTGTTGGCCACAAATTGAGGAAAATCTTTAACAGAAACACTCTCAAACTGAGCTACAGTTGCATGCCGAACGTACAACAAATTATGAATGGACGTAACCAAACCGGCACAACCGGCACAACCGGCACAAGACCAAGCCGGAAGAACGTGCAACTGCAGGAAGAAGGCAGAATGCCCCTTGGAAGGAAACTGCCTTTCTAAAGGAATCGTTTATCAGGCCAAGGGGACGTCTACGAGTAGAACCGAAACCTACGTAGGGCTCGCAGCCACGGAATTTAAAGCAAGGTTTAGAAACCATCAGGTGTCGTTCAGCAATAAAACGCGTAAGAACGACACAGAACTTAGTAAACACATTTGGCAGCTTAAAAGCAAACAGCAACACTTGACCATCAAATGGAAGATCCTTGCCAAAGCGAAACCTATTCAAATCTGACGAAGCGATGCATCCTATGCACGACGGAGAAGCACTTCATCATCGGCTGTTCCGAAAACGAGGAGTGCGGAGTGCGGAGTGCGGAGTCTAAAAAAAAAATTAAAACATAAAAAAATAAAAAAAAGAAATTAAAAAAAAATAGAATTAAAAAAATGTAAAAGTGAATTAAAAGAATAATTAAATATGTAAATAAACTAGAAATAAAAATTTAAGAAGTAAAAATAATTATTAGAAAATTCACACTGCCTTAGGTGGACTGTTTATATCGCGTATATTTCATTCAGTCCAAATGGTGTATTCAACCCACGATTTTCATAGTAAGCAGTATGCTGGCATTTAAAATATTAACATGTTCATAGCTCGCGCATGAGTTTTAACATTTTAGAATTGTATTAGGACAAGCAACGATTGATTGTAACGGTCTTTTACAATGTTTTGTAACGACCTGTTGTAACGTTTTATCGCGTCTTGCGCGAACATATTGTCGATGTGTATCTTAGTAGGCTTCAGTGATGATGAGTGGGCTAACTTTATGTTAGCCCACGCAACAGACTTGGGGTACTTACCATTTACATGGGAAAACCGGAAATTCCAGTTGGAAAATCAAATGGTTCGCGCCATTCCGTTTGGGAATCTTCTGAAGATATGGGCTGTGATTTGAGGTGATGCAATTTTTCTGCTCTTTTAAGTCTCTCTAGCTGATGTGGATATACTTTATAGCGATTCCCTCTCCCGCAACGTGGCATTCAACTGTTGAATGTTTTTGCCTGAAATTTCCAACCGGATGGTTTCTGTAAATGGTAAGCACCCCTGTATTATACTCCATATGTGCTCAAGATCTGAGTGGTCTCTCAACATAATTTGTTAAATATCATCGGTATATTGTTTTGAAATCACGTTATCGCAAATTTCAACTTGAAGTTTGTCATTTGCACTCAGACATCTGAACCTTCTCCAGTCTTAATATGATCCTTCCTTTATTCTACTCTAAATCGGTAATTAAACTAATTCTTAGAATTGAACGCATAGCTGCATACCACCACTGTATCATATCATAATGAATAGAACTAGCACGAATCAGTGAATTGAGTGGGTCTGGCTTCTCGGTCGCTTCTCGAGCACGCACAACAGGCAATCAGTATAACAGAGCTAATGTTTCTCTTGTAGGACCATCATCCTAATTGTTGCTCTGTTGGTGCTGATTGTGATTGCGTTGGCTGTAGTTCTTCCCGTCTATTTTTTTGTGATAAAAAAATCCGATCAATCATCTGACAATCCATCATCTGAAGATCCATCATCTGGTGGACCCTACAAAAGAGAGGCCGTCGCCACGGATACACCGCAATGCTCCCAAATCGGCAAGGACATTCTTAACGCCAACGGCTCGGCCGTGGATGCCGCCATCGCCGCCATGTTCTGCTTGGGGGTTATAAGCATGCATTCGTCGGGGATAGGAGGAGGTGGAGTAATGCTGGTGTACAACAGAAGCCTCCAGGAAGCCAGTGTCATCGACTTCAGAGAAACCGCTCCAGCACTAGCAAAAAGGGACATGTTTAAGGGCAACGAGGAGAAAGCCCAAAAAGGTATTCTTTTCCGCTTTGTCTGCAACGACGACTTCTGAAAATATGAACAAAATAGTATAACGAGGTCCAGAAAAAGCCACGAGAATGGCCGAATGGTAGAATGGACTGGGTACTGGATTTAACTGATTTTGCAGCGGTCACACAAGAGCCCTGCATACTATTGTGACTAATCAATTGGCCCGCCTTCTGCCAGGTTGGGATTCAGTGTAGCAAATTTACAAGCTATTCGTTTGTTAATTTTGCGTGCCCGCAATCGGAACTGCACATTGTGTTAATGTCCCTCAGCTTTTAACACTGACTCGGACTGTCAACTGGCTAGTAATTCTCACATTTTGATGAAACATTTTTGGGTTCTTTGGACTAAAGATGACCGTTTAAATTTTTAAAACCTCGACTAATTTAAGCAAATACTGCAAAGACTATCTTAACTTCTTCTTAGGTGGTCTGTCCATTGCCGTGCCTGGCGAGGTACGCGGTCAACACGAAGCCTGGAAACGATATGGCTGGTTGCCATGGAAACAACTCGTTCAACCTGCCATCGATTTGGCCAGAAATGGATTTGAAATAACAAAAGCTGTGGACGATGCTCTGAAAACGACAAAAGGAATCGAACAGGACATCAGAAATGATCCAGGATTGAGGTCAGTTCATATCACCTGCTAACTCAATTACAAGCAGTAGAGGATAAAGCGTAAGAGTGTTAATGCCCAGTGTAGCCCTTATTCCTGAGGTAATCCTTCTCAAGTTATTTTTAACTGTGTTATCTAGTGCACGCACGGATCATTGCAATGTTACCACCCGCTTGCTGCGTTTTCGGAAAAAATTCATGTAAAGCTGCTAGGGCTGTCCCGGCACGTGAACAAAATACGCGTCACTGGATGGATTGATTCTAGGATTTCCAAAACCGGGAGCTGGTGATCTAAAAATAAATTGACAAGGATTACTTGAGAAATAAAGCCTATAAAGGGGAGTATCTATTTTCCCTTCATCTTCTCTTGGTTACAAGATGGTCTAATGCAAATCTAAACATACTCTTAGTAAATTTCATGCATGAGGGATGTCACATGTGTAAAAGTTCTGAATCTTACTTCGTTCTCTCTGGTCTGGTAATGCCACGATACTGAGTTGTTGTTTTCAATATGTTTTCAGCGAACTGTTTCTGGATAAAAACAAAAAGCTTCGTGAAAGAGGAGATAAAATCAAGAACGAAAAGTATGCAAAGACCCTGGAACAAGTGCAAAACAATCCCGAATCGTTTTACAGTGGACAGTTGGCCAATGATATCGCGAAAGATATGAGAATAATCAATGGGGCCGTGACTCTGGAAGATCTGAGGAAATACAAGTCGATCAGCAGAACGCCATATAAGGGTGAACTCTCGGGCATGAATATGTACCTCACCCCGCCCCCCACAAGCGGTGCCGTTTTAGCGCTAATCTTGAACATTTTAAAAGGTGGGTGTTGTTCTTCAAAGTTTTTTTTGTCCTTATTTTATTCTCTGTCACCTGAGTTGGAAGAGGTCATCAACATCAAACATTCTTGAAAAGATATATATGACAGAAAATATCTTGATCCTTGCTTAATTTAAATTAACAAATCGACGTCAGTGTTTCATG